AAAAACGGTAAGGCCCCAGGCGAGAATGGAATTACAGCGGAGCTTCTGAAAGCGGGTGGAAAACCGGTACTTGAAGTCCTTCAGAAGCTCTTTAATTCCGTCCTCCATGGTGGCATTACACCGGAGGCCTGGAGCAGAAGTGCGGTAGTCTTGTTCTTCAAGAAAGGTGACAACGCTCTCTTGAAGAACTACAGACCGATTTCCCTTCTGAGCCGCATCTACGTGCTGTTTTCGAGAGTCATTACGAATCGTCTCGCGCGCAGACTTGACGACTTCCAGCCTCCCGAACAAGCCGGTTTCCGAAAGGGCTTTAGCACCATAGACCACATACATACCCTTCGGCAATTTGTACAGAAGTCCGAAGAGTACAATTTGCCACTATGTCTGGCGTATGTGGACTATGAGAAAGCCTTTGATTCCGTCGAAATTTGGGCGGTGCTGCAGTCCCTTCAGCGGTGCCAAGTTGACTGTCGGTATATCGAAGTGTTGAAGTGCTTGTACAGTAGGGCTACTATGGCTATCCGAGTACAGAACCAGAGTACGAAACCTATCCAATTGCAGAGAGGTGTAAGACAGGGTGACGTCATATCCCCGAAACTCTTCACCGCTGCATTGGAAGACGTTTTCAAGCTTCTGGACTGGAAAGGATACGGTATCAACATCAATGGCGAGTACATCACTCACCTTCGATTTGCCGACGATATAGTCCTTATGGCAGAATCGCTGGAGGACCTAAGCACTATGCTCAATGACCTCAATAGTGTTTCCCAACGGATAGGTCTTAAGATGAACATGGACAAAACTAAGATCATGTTTAATGTCTATGTCACACCTATGCCGGTAGTTGTTGGGAACACTAAGCTCGAAGTTGTTGACGAGTATGTTTACCTGGGACAAATAGTCCGACTAGGTAAGTCCCACTTCGACCGAGAGGTCAATCGACGGATTCAACTCGGTTGGGCAGCGTTCGGGAAATTACGGCACATCTTCTCGTCAGGTATACCTCAAACCTTGAAAACTAGACTGTACACCCAGTGCGTGTTGCCAGTGATGACATACGGAACTGAGACGTGGTCCTTCACTGCTGGCCGGATGAGGAAGCTCAAGGTCGCTCAGCGAGCTATGGAGAGGGCTATGCTCGGAGTTTCTCTGCGTGATAAACTTAGGAATGAGGATATCCGCAGAACCAGAGTAACCGACATAGCCCAACGGATTAGTAAGCTGAAGTGGCAATGGGCTGGCCATATAGCTCGAAGAACCGACAACCGATGGGGAAGAAAGGTTCTCGAGTGGCAGCCTCGTACCGGTAGGCGAAGTGTAGGGCGTCCCCCCACGAGATGGAGTGACGACCTGGTAAGACATGCAGGAAGTCGATGGATGCAGGTGGCTCAGGACCGTGCTTTGTGGCATTCTTTGGGGGAGGCCTATGTTCAGCAGTGGACTTGTGAAGGGCTGTAATGATGATGATGATGATACCTCTCTATACATGAGAAGCCTGTGTAGCTTTATAATCTTCATAATCCTTCAGATTCAATGTAATAATGCGTTTATGGTCTTGTTGTGACTGCAGCGTATTGGAGATGTTTACAGAAGTTTACACAAGCATTTATTTTACGCAACTATGTGTAAAATATGTTCATATTAGCTACGCAGAGTTCAAGTCAGCCTCAACAACATTTTGTGAATGATAGGGACAAAGTCAATTGCCCCTTTACACAAATGCTGTATAATGTATATACCCAGCAGTTAATACATAGTTAATTTTCATTTGTGTAAATTATAATTAAATAAATGAATTGTATTGATTTTTTTATTACTTGCGCATTCCCCTTGCACGTGGTAAATCAGTACTTAAAGTTTAATTGTTATTCATAATTTGGTTCGCGCATGCAAGAATTGAAACTCTGTTGCCTGATTACTATAAAATTTAAAGGATCAGATTTTATCATTTTGAATCTGAAGGGTTCCGAAGGCGTTTAGGTTACACATGCCGCACGTGTATAGAGCTGGAGAATATCTCAGACTCTGCACCAGCTCATAGGGCACGAAGCACGCAAAACTGGTTGACCGCCCGTGGAATGGACTTTATCGTACATGAAGACTGGCCCTCTTCTAGTCCAGATTTAAGCCCACTGGATTACAAAATATGGCAATATTTGGAGGTGAAAGTCTGCGCTAAACCTCACCAGAATTTGGAATCTGTCCGAGCATCTTTGGCTAAAGCAGAGGCAGAAATAGATGTGAGTATGGTGCGTGGTGTGATTGATGATTGGCCGCGTCGATTAAGGGCATGTATTCAAAATAGGGGAAGACATTATGAATATGATGAATAAAATTGTATTCTAAATTAAATTACCTTTCATTTCATATATAACTTCTATATAACTATCAATACGGGTATCATTAATTTTATAAAGTTTTTGACAGAACTTATGACCCGACTAAGTTTATTATCAAACGAAAAGTATGTGAAAAATGCGACTACATGTTACGTTTTATTCGCAGCATGATAAAAGCAGATACCGTCCACAATGGAATAGAAGCAAAGTTGACGTGACATCTTGAAGACCTCGAAAGAATCTTGACATGAAGTTGATTTATGTTCCGTCGGCGGTTTTTCCGGCGCGTTCAAGCCAGCGCTAATTTAATTCTATTTTATTTATTTACAAACATCCGTACATTTCATCATGTTGTGTAGTTTCGGCGTTACAGAATCCGCTAAAATATATATCGCGTGGTTGATGTAAGAGGGAAATTAAACAGGAGGTTCTCGGTATTGTCTTTCTAATAATAACTCAAAATAATATAATTGTGATTCACAACCCACCTGATATCCAGGGAAACACCCCCTCTTATAAGGCAATCTTTGGGGGAAGCTTCTGTTCAGCAGTGGACTTTTGATAGGCCTGAACCCTATAAGTTTAATGAACGAATGAATTTAAAGTGCTGATTTACCACGTGCTCGGTAGTTAAGAAAACATTACTAGGAAGCCTGTCTGACAAATGAAACATGCGTGAGTTTCGTGGAATCACAGAATACCAGCGTAAAATAGTAGCTTAACGCTGCTATGTTTCGTATGGTGAGTGTAGAGAACCGGAGACCCTTTTTACTGGAAACGAGGCATTCCATCTTAGTCCTCATGGGTGACAACGCATCTGCATTTTGATTCTTAATCGAAGATAGATGTAGATATCTATGGGCCACAGCAACCACTTACCATCAGGTGGAGTGTGCTCGTTTGTCACCCTTATCCTATAAAAAAAAATACTCGTAGGGAACGAAGTTCCTTTCGTAGTATATTATTATTGATTAATGTATTATATTATTGATTAACAAATAAAAATAAATAAATTACTAGCGTCTATTAAAATGAAGCGTCATTTAAAAAAAATTTTTTTTCCATGGCAATGTAGAAACACCATCGCTCGCGTTGTAGAAAGTGGGTCGTGACGGCAAAATCTTACACTCTTTCTCGCCTAGCCCCCTGTCAAATTCGTACCGTGCGATAAAGAACCTCGTTCCAAAAATTCGAGGATATATAATATGATATCTTCTAACGTACAATAAATTATTGTGACGGACTCTTTCCTGGTATATAACGCACTCAGAAATAAGGAGACGTCTGTGCACAGTTAGAGATTTAAAGGAAACTAATATTTTGCTACTTCATATTTGTAAAAATATTAAGCATATATTTCTAAAAAAGTATCAATAAAATCCTATCATTATTTAAACGACCAAACGCAGCTGTATGCAATTTATGTAATAAGATATCTGAAATATCTAAAGCGGAACGCTAATCCAAGCAGACTGATCTGCCTTTTATAACTTGTGTGAGATCTTTGGTTCTCCGCTCACTCTGCCAACTCTCTACCAATCGTGATAAATATGAGCAGGACTTAAGCAATGCCTAGATCTAACTATACTTAGCAGAAGACTTAAACAAGGTTGACGATACATCTAAATAATATTTAAAACGCTATAAAATATAGTTAGCCAGTATGATTTCAGGTTGGGAGGTATTGAATCTTAGTTCTCACAGAATAAAACTTATAAGTTGGAATATGGCTGCAGGTGTCACTGGATTGCAGTTACCACATACCGTCAGGTAGACTGCATGTTCATCTGTCACTTCAGTTTTATAAAAAAAAATAGACATTAACTCCGGCTTCGCACGGATGATTTCTGGATCTCGACAATAGCGCCATCTACCGGGCCCAACTATAGCTAAAACCATCCAGGTGGCCCCAAAAGTATTAATAAAGTACCAACAAAGATTTCATCGGTATAGGTCTACCCGTTTATGAGAAAAATAATACGAACACATGCACATCGGGATTTTATAAGAGAGTAGCTGTTTCCCGCGACTTCGCCCTCGTGGATTTTTTTGCGCGGATCTCTACAAAAGTAGCGTAAATTACTCCTTATAACATCAGCTATCTGCCAGTGAAAGTCCCATTCAAATTGGTTCACAGGTTTCTGCGTAATGCGTGTTCACGCCAAAATAGCTCGCAGATGACAGATTTTTTTCACACTTACTTAATATTTATAGTTATATTTTGGCCAATTCATTCAATATTTTTATGAATTATAGCGTATGTGTTATTCTGATGTATGAGATATATTATTGTAGTTTCATTAAAAAAATTCATTCAGTAGTTTTTGCGTGAAAAAGTAACAAACATCTATACATCCTTACAAACTTTCACGTTTATAATATTAGTAGGATGTTGCGTTCTACTTTTCTACCGACTTCAAAAAGGAGACGGTACTCAATTCGACTGTTTTTTTATGTGTGTTACCTCATAACTTTTTACTGGGTGAACCGATTTCGATGATTCTTCTTTTATTTGAAAGCTGATGCTTCACATGTGGTCCCATGTAAATTTGAACAGGGCTTTTGAGTTATTCTTAATGATTTATATTGAAGTCGGTTGTACAAAATTTTTTATTTTAAATTATTTGGTACTATTTCGAAATACTGGAACATCATACTCACAGTGGTATTCATGTCAAAGCGAATACGAACTTTCTTGCTCTTTTTTCGTCGCTTCATTATTATTTTTTTATTTGTCACCTACACTTAACTACAAAATACTACTACAACACGTATTGTGCAAATTCGAATTACAGGCTCATTATTATGATGGTTGCAACAGCAAATTCAGATGTTAAATAATATTTTAATCTATTATCACTTTTAAAAACGAACTGATTTTCCTAGTAACATTTTCGTTTGAAATAAATCCACACAAAATTTTCCCGTCTCATGCCATTAACTGATCACAGCACAGTGTCCGAACGGAACGTCTAAACAAGATGCAGTTTTAACAGCGTAAACAAACATCTTAACTACTTTACACTTTAATGGTTTAAACGAAAAACTATTGTTCAAAGCGCATTTCGATTCCAATATAGTACAGTCCTCCGTGGAAACGCGTTGGAACTGAAGTTTGATGTGCTATTTTTAAAATGATGTATTACTTTTATGGGTGAGTGTTTAGTATGACTCATGGGATTCAACTACTCGCATAAATACTGGACACATAGAAAAAAGAAAAATGTGCTAATTAGTATATTAGACTGACTCAAAATAATTAATTAAAACTTAATTTTTAACAAGTTTTTTTTTTATAGGATAGGGTGACAAACGAGCACAGTCCACCTGATGGTAAATGGTTGCTGTGGCCCATAGCTACATCCATCCTCGTTTGCGAATCAAAATGCAGATGCGTTGTCACCCGTAAGGACTAAGATGAAATGCCTCTTTTCCAATAAAAAGGGTCTCCGGTTCTCTACACTTGCAATACGAAACACAGAAGTGTTAAGCTGCTATTTTACGCTGGTATTCTGTGAGAGCGTGGTCCTTCCCCGGTCGAGCCGACTTATTCGTGCTACAACTATACTTCTAATATAGTTGCAGCATAGCTCTACTACGTTATAAATGTTCTCGTTATTATTTTTTATTTCGTTCTCCTTTTTTCAGTCCTTAAGAGTCCGCTAAACACCGCTAAACAGTGAAATGGCGGTGTAAGGATATCTACTACCCCATATCATCCCGTGGGTGTCGTGACAGGCGATAGAGGGAAACAAATCAGGAGATGGTCAGCAGCGTCTTCTAATAACGACTAAAAATTAAAAAAAAATGCGTGAGTGTCGTGAAACACTCGGTTGGAACGAAGTTCTTTATTATTGATAAACGTATTATATTATTGATTAACAAATAAACATAAATGTATTACTACCGTCTATCAAAATGAAGCGTCATTTAAAATGAAATACACTATGACACAAGGGGTAGTGACGAAAAAATCTAACACTTTTTGTCGCCTAGCTCCCATCCACCAAACACGTACCATCGTAAGGAATTTCGTTCAAAAAAAAAAACTGCGATTTTCAAGCGTGGGAACTATGGCAAATATCCCCCTTATGATCTATGGGGCAGTCAATGTTGAGCAGTGGACTTTAATATGCTGTAACGATAACGGTAACGGTAAAAGTCTACTGCTGTATATGGAAGACTTCCGTTGTATGGATTTACCATCGTCACAATTTGGTAGGTGGATTGGCAATTGCCATACTACGCGTCTCATACCTTTGACGTTGTCGTTCTTCTCCGGTCTGGGTGTTTTGCCTCTAGTATAAGGGAAGCGCCATCTTTTTTTGGAACAAAACTCCGTATCGGACAGTATGCGAGCCTAGGCGAGAAAAAGTGTAAGATTTTACCGTTACGACCCCTTCTGACGTAGTGTATTCGTCCTTGGTGGCTATAAGGAAGCGAGATGGAATAATATCCGTCTCCCTCGCACTTTGTCGTATCTTGTCGTGAAATAAATATTATTTTATTTTAAATGACGCTTCATTTTAATAGAAGCTAGTAATTCATTTATTTGTATTTGTTAATGAATTATATAATACGTTTATCAATAATAATACACTACGAACGGAACTTTGTTCCAACCGAGTGTTCCACGACACTCACACATGTTTTTTTTTAGAATAAGCATGACAAACGAGCACACAGTCCACCTGATGGTAAGTTGATGCTGTGGCCCGTAGACATACAACTGTATATGTACACGATTAAGAATCCAAATGCAGAATGCGTTACTTATCACCACTGAAGACTAAAGATGTAATGCCTCGTTTCCATTATTAGAATTTTTTTTTATTTTATTTTAGATTATTAGAAAAATGTTATTATTTTATTAAAGACTTTTTAAATGACATAAACGAGAATTCACATTATGTATGACATATTAGTAGTTAATATGCTATCAGAATTGTATCTTTTAGTTTTTATGACTTTGCACGCCTTTAAGTAGAATGTAGCGGAAACACTTAGTGATGTACCATTGTACCATCTTATGCCTATACCTACATTGTGGCAAATAAAGAATCTGAGGCTTGAATTCCTCCTACGCTGACGTCGGTCGCGTACGTCGGTCGCGCGTACTAATGTACATTGTGTTCTATATAGTCCCACACTACGACGCTGACGACAGCGGCGCGTAGTTTGCTACATTAGTACGCGCGACCGATGTACGCGACCGACGTCATCGTAGGAGGAATTTATGCCTGAATATGAATGCAGTAAAAAGGATCTTCGGTTATCAACACTAACCATACGAAACACAGCAGCATTAAGCTGCTATTTCATGCTGGTATTCTGTTAGAGACCTTGCGTGGTTGAGCCGTCCTATTCGTGCTACAACCATATAGCTGCAACGAGGCTTTACCATGAATAAATAAAACCTATTGGAAGCCATTCGATTTTTCTGGCACATTTACATAGTCGCTTCCTACCACACCTACGGGACGAAATTGGGTAATGAATTCTCTTACGCCATCATCTCATGGTAAAGGAATACGAAAAAGAAATGACCGTAGCATAATGGGAAAGGCTACAGACTGCAAATTGGTATCTGTAAATATCAGATTATTCAGATGTCAGGATATGAGTGAAAACTGAATTACAAAACTTTATAATATTTATTCATACATACACTAGCTGTGCCTGTGGCTTTGCCCGTGTGGGGTTCGACTTGTGGCAAAAAAACGTTATGAACGATTTGAGGATACTCCCCACTACCGCGCATCCAAGCACTACCATGTGTCACTTACGTTAAGTTTTGCTTTTATTTAATCATAAAAAGTTAAATATTAAATTTTAAAATTGCTATGTTCAAAAATTCTTCATAAACTACGGAAACACTAAACCGTCATTTATTTTATCCCTTCAGGAATGGAATTTCCAACAAATATTTAGTTATTTTTTTCGGAATCCTCCAGAATTCTCTATAATTTGCGGTAGTATAAGTTACGTCGCGGTATCGTATTGTTACACTAGAAATCTACAAATCCTATTAAATAGGGTTTGTAGATTTCTAGTATAAAAATTGTATACTCTTAATCCGCTCGGATTTAATAAATAGTCTATGTCCTTTCCTAGAGTTTAAGCTTTAACAAATCGGTTCAGTGGTTTAGCCGTGAAAACGTAACAGACAGACAGAGTTACTTTCGCATTAATGTTATTAGTATGGGTACATATTACTACTTAGATACAGGTCAAGGTAATAAAAGCCTGTTTAAAAGTGAACTATGTTGATACGTCGCGTTCTCAGGTGTTTTGATTACGAACGACGTGAAATAACAATGCGTTCAATACTCTCGGGTCTTCATCATATGCCGGTCTTGTTGCCTTTGATCCAAAGGTTCAGATTAGCGTGTGTTTACACAGGTATTAAGAACACGGGGCATTCAGTACAGCAGTTAACCTATCTCCAAGACAGATGTAAATTATTTAACGTTAGCAATTACTTGATATATATGCGGTTTTAAGCGAAAACTAGATATATATTACAGATTGTGTTCCATCAGTGCAATATGTATGGATAGGGCATATTAAGTCATTTTTATATAATAAGGGTGATAATGAAACACACAGTCCACCTGATGGTAAGTGGAAATAGACATCTACATTTATCCTCGATTAAGAATCAAAATGAAAATGCGTTGTCACCCCTGAGGACTCAGATCGAATGCCTCGTTTCCAGTAAAAAGGGGGGCTCCGGTTCTCTAAACTCACCATACGAAACAGATAGACATAGTAGCATCCAATTACCATCAGATGAAAGGTGTGTTCGATTATTATCCTTATTTTATAAAAAAATATTGATGAAATGGATGATTGCGACAATTTTTTTCGGATGCCTGACGTTTATTTTAGAAATCTCACGACCTCAAAAATTATAAAATAATATTTATTATCTGAGCTCATAAAATTGGTTCACGTCACCGATGGCGACGGCATGATGCGTTTCGTGGTATTAATTAAAAAAAATACACTCCTCCATTGCCATCGCAATGCGTATTGGCGCGGTAAAATCTTACACGAGACCACATGTTTATATTATAATAAATTGAGCATGTTTCCAGCGCTCTGTCTATCTTTGTTTTTTGGTCTAAGATCGGAGGTCATATTTTTCTTTTCCTGTCGGCAAGCCCAACACTCACGACACTGGCTGATAGACACTCCACCGCCACTATGATCTTTGCAATCACTCTGCGTAAAAATAGGTTACAGCCTATATACGAGTACACGTCCTATGGTTGAGCACAGGCCTTCTGTCGTTTGTGAGATGGTATGAGGGCCAGGAAGTGTCCATCACACTGCCCCTATGCATGTTAGCAAACTTGTCACACACATGTCTTCAAAATATTTTTTTATTTTTCAGACGTGCAGTTCCTCACGTTTTCTTTTATCACCTTTTACCGCCATGGTAAATCAGCCCCTAAAATTACGAATGACAATTTCATTAATAAATTGCCACAGATGCTACTGGATACCGGCGTAAAAAATATATTTTACTTTATTAATGTTTTCTTTAATATCCATGCCTGACCAGCTAAAATTTTATTAAAATTTTCCAGAATATTCCCCTGAACGACAAATGAAAAGAATAATAATTGAATATAATCTGTTATTTATTTATATTACTATATTTTAATGTATATTTACATATACATTGTTGTACAGCCCAACAAGATGAAAAT